AATATGAGCGCGCAGCCCCGGGGCCGACCCCGTCGCTCAGTTGGCGGAACGCTTGTGCTTCTTTCCCGAAGGTGGGTGCTGCCGGCGCCCGGGGGTTTTTCCGTGGCGTGTTCCGACGCCGTGGGCCTGCGATGACAACCATCTGCGACCTGCCCGAAGATGTGCTGGTGGAGCTGCTCTCGCTGCTGCCCGCCCGCGACCTGCTGCGCAGCTGCCGCCTGGTCTGCGCCCAGTGGCGGGACGTGGTGGATCTCACCACCCTCTGGAAGCGCAAGTGCCAGCGCAAGGGCTTCTACGTTCAGAGTTTGGACAGGAGCATCTCCGACTGGAAGATCTTCTATCTGCTCTGCAACCTGAAGAGAAACTTAATCAAAAACTCCTGCGCTGAAGGTTTGTTTAACTATTCATAGTAGAGGGCTAAGAGTTTCCTAACAGTGAGAATGAGTCACTGCTGGTGGCGTGGGACTGCCCAGCCACTGATGGAGCTCTGCTGGGTCACATCTCCGAGTAAGCACACGCGGTAAAACTACCGGGACAGCAGATAAAATAGAGATAAAGGATGTACTGGTAAATACCTACCTGTGGTTGTGACCAGAAACATCACTGGAGTCACTGAGGTCCCAGCACTGCAGACAGTGGAGGGTTAATCTGCACAGCAAGTACAATTTGGTAATGAAACTGTCAAGTGCTGGGATTAAACACGGAAGCAGCTGGAGAATTTTTGTTGTCAAAGATATGACTAATATGACTACAGTAGTTCCACTTTATTACTGATTATGAGTTTCCGATGTGGTCAGAAAGTTGCTGCCAATTGTCCTAGCTGCTGACAGCCATGTTAAACGTCGTGGCAATGTAAAGACTGGAGTGACTTTCAGCTGTAGGAAAATTGCATTGTCTCTGAAAAACTCAAAGTGGGTTCCTAGCATTCTTCTGTAGCTGATTCTTTAACAAAAGTGGAGATACTGCTGGAAACTGAGATGAGGTCCTAACGCTCAGCTTTGATATCTCTGTTTTTAGAAGACTTTCAACACTGGAAACTTGATAATAATGATGGGGATAAATGGAAGATTGAGGATCTGCCTGGACCTCACGGAAGACTCATGCCAAACCCCAGAATACAAAAGTACTTTGTCACTTCATATGGGTAAGAACTGGATTCCAGTAATCTGGAGCTGGGAGATCTACTTCCTCCTGTTTGTCTGCAAAGGCACCGCTGTGAGAAGGCTTGAGGCAGGTCACTGAACCTTAGCCCATCTGTGAGGAAAGGGAAGGAGCTTAATTAACCTTTTATACTAGTTAGTCTAAAGAGACAGGTGTACTGCTAAAAAATTAATTGCAGCACATGCGAAATTCCTCTGTGCCTACCAGGAATTTCCTGTAACTTTTTTGTAGTCATGATAATCCACGTGGGATCTCTGTTCTACCAAAGGTAGTGGGCAAAGGTGGAGGTTTGTCAAGCTAATCGGATGCGCTTACCTGACAAGGTCAAAGCTCTGTAACCTCTAAGGGGGTGGGTGTGTTTGGCATGTTAACAGCTTGCAGTAAAAGCTGTCAACAGAGGAGGGTTCACTGCTTTTGCATCCATTGAACAGTAGTTTCCTGTTACCAATATATGCTATACAAGCACAGGGACCCCTCTTAATCCAGCCTGTAAGTAACTATTCCTCTTACCCGGGAGCAAAGCTAATCAGTTCACTTCCTTGGCTGCTCTGGCTACAGAAAGACACGCCTTAGCTGCGTCAGCCTTTTGTGCTTTTGAGGTCTGGGTGGACTTTTGGTAAGAGTAAAGGTTTCAAGCAGTGTGGACCTTGAGAGGGAAGAGATCTGTTTTGTGAAGCTGTGACTATCTCTGTTGTTGTTGCAGGCCATGCTTCAAGTCTCAACTCATTACCCTGCAGAAAGAAGGATACTGGAATCAGTTGATGGATGAGAAAAGGCCTGAAATTGTAGTCAAGGACTGGTAAGTGTAAACTAGAATTTCTGGCATTGGCCTGGAGATAAGATAGGCCTCTGAAGCTTTTCACACTATAACGAGTCGTAAAGAGGTGACAATATCCTACCATGAGCAGGATAGATGGCGGTTTTAGAACTTCTTCATAGCTGTGGGGGTGACAGTCCTTTCCCTCTGCAGACGGGGCTCCCCTAGGAGACTGTTTTTGAACACGAAAGAAAACGCTGTAGACATAACCCTGCTCCTTGACATTCCCTGCCCCTCTAGGTACGCTGCCAGATTTGACTGTGGCTGTCGCTATGAGATTACAGTGAGGCTGCTTTCTGAAGACTACATTGTCCTTGACGAGTTCCACCCCGAGCCCGTGGTTATAGAGCAGTGGAACGATGCAGCCTGGAGAGAGGTAAGCAGCAGTAGCTTTACATCAGCGTTGTGACACTTCCACCTTGCAAGTCTTACTTGGCCACAAGTCCCAAGTTGGGCCTTCTTTCTCTGCTCTTCAGCCTCCTCTACTCCATACAAAAGGTAAGTCCTTGCTGTTGGCAATGCTGAAGAAGCAGTAGTGCTGTGAAAGAACTGTTTGGTTTGTAGGTGCCCATGATATAAGTATCCCCTGCACTTCTGTGGGGTTTTTTTTTTAGCTCAGTCTCTTTGTTTCTAGTTTTCACTTAAGTTTTTGTCTGAATAACTAAGTTACAAGAGCATGGTTCTTGTTTTTATTAGATCATAAAGCTTTGTTTTAAAACTACTGCATGGATGTAATTTAAAGTATTACAGATACTACTTTTCTTAACTGCTAAACATGCTGAACTGGTTTGATTGGCTGTAGATTCTCCATTATGTTGCTGCTTACGTGACAAATGCACCTAAGAATCAAGCTTAATGTTACTTTTGACTTGGGGAGGATTTCAGGGCAGAAGGCTGAATGAGAGAGGCTTTTTTCCCTGTCCCTCAAAGGGGTATGACACACTCAAAAAAAGATATCGTAGAAGCTGTGAGCTTTCCCCGAGACCAAGACTTGTGTAGTTGTCCAAGCTTACAGGTCAGTACTGGTTATTCAGGCAAATGATGAGGAATTTTCTTCTTTCTCTCCAGATTTCTCACACCTTCCAGAATTACCCCGCTGGGGTTCGTTACATCTGGTTTCAGCACGGAGGCCAAGACACCCAGTTCTGGGCAGGGTGGTACGGGGTGCGAGTGACTAACAGCAGCATCACCATTGGGCCCCTGACATGTGTATGAAGGCACAACAGAAGCATTTGCTTTTACCTCAGGACTGTAACCACGTGGTCTCAGGTGCACTCACTTGTGTGTACTCTCTGGGTGAGCATCCTAGCTTTGTCTTGCACTGTTGATCTCAAATACAAGCAGCTAGTTCTCCTTGTTCACAGCAGAACTTCTGCAAGCCCACCCCTTTGGAAGGATTTCATCCATCTGTACCATGGATGTTACTGCAATTACTAGTGCCCTTCCACAGGAGAAAGATGAGGACAATTAAATGTGTCTTTTCTAGTTAATATGTCCTTGTGCTACAGCCAAACACTAGGTATTAAAGAGAAACCCTTTCTTGTTTATGGAACTTATGAAAGATAAGGCTAAAATGTTTCAGATTATCAATGCTGTCCTCAAGGACTGGGCTACAGAGAGGCTTGTTTTGTATGCTGTTTTTCTGTTTCAGTTTAATTATGTATAAAAACATGTATCTTTCACATCAGACCTTTCATAGCATAAGGAAACTCAACCCTTTTTCACGAATGCTGTATCACTGGTTCTTAACTTCTTACCCTTTCTGAAAGTGTATATGATCAGAATGGTACAGGCCTTCCCTCTCCAAGTACAGCCCATCGTTGTTTGGAGAAAGAGGAGATAGAAATCCCTTTGGGTGGCTACAATGTAAGTGCCTTTTGATTGTGCTGGGCTTTTTCCAAGCTACTACTACCACAGTACTTGGTTTGTGCTGGAGTTTAACCCTATATAAAATATTAAAGCAGTGCACAACCTTGATTAATAGTATTCTTGTACTTTTTACTAAGAGGAAGTAACTATACTGGCTGTCTTACCAACTGACCAACAAGCTCAGCTCAAATACTACAAACCATGTCTTCTGCTCCTGTATCATAGAGCCAACACTGAGGCCTTCTTCCACCATTTGCTACGTGTAGGATTCACAGTGTTTCCCTCGTCTGTTCTCTGTTAAGAGCAGGACATCTGGCAACTGTCCTTGCTGGACAAACAAATGCCACCTGTGGGTGAAAGCTCTGCCATGGAAGGGGGAGACACCATGGCTGTACACAGCCGGTCACAGGGATTGACAGATTCCACATACGTTCCAGAAAAGGTACGGAAAAGTGGTGGAATCTCCACACAAAATATACCCTTACATAAGGGGGGAGGCTGGGGTAAAACTGAATATTTATTGAAGACTACGTGGGACGGTCGCAGAGGACAGACACTCCGTAAGGCCTCACTCCCCCTTGGCAGGAGCCCGGTGCCAGGGTGCAGCACACAGCAGAGCGCTGGGCGGCGCTACCAGTGCGCAGTGGAGTTAAGGTGAGAACGAGATTTGTACAGAGCTCGGACTGCAGCTGCCCGTGTCCTGCCCCAGGGAGTCACTGTGACAAAACCTGTACTCACTCTCACACGAGGGTACATGGGAACAGGCTCTGGCTCCACATTCCAAGTCAGTTCTATGTACAGTGGTAAGAGCACTTGAAATAAAGAGGCAGCAGCTGCTCTACATTCACCCAGAAGGCCAGCTGAGGAGATGGTTATCAAGGTATGGTTTGTGAGAGATCTTATTCCACTGGAAGATCAGATGAAGGCAGGGGAGATTTGGAATCAGGTGCCTTTGTGGGCTCGCTCTTCTACATATAGCTGCATCTGCAAGAGAGAAACAACCATCAGTTCTGTTAGATACGGGAAAAAATGTCTGTGACAGGCTAAGTAAGAGGAGCTCCTACCTTCCCCCATAAGCAGGCTTCCTATTTTACTATGGGGAGCCTTGCCCTGTTCTGAGTACAGGCACAGACATCTCCAAACAAAACTACTGCTCAGCAGTATTAAAATTGTTACCCCAGAAAACTGCAGAGCTGGCATCAGAGTAGACAAAACTTAGAACTAGATGCAGTTTGAGCCACCCCTTGGGCCAGAGTGCTCTGCTCACCTTTAAGATATCAGATGTCATGGTTTTCAGGGGAATAAGCCGGGGGTCGTGCATGTGCACATCTTGTTCATCAGCGAGGATCCACGGGAAGTCCTAGGGGCAGGAACACAAGGTGCTTTATTTGCAGAGGCTGCAGGCTGTAAGGTGAGCTCTTCTCAGCACTAGGTCAGCATTAAGTGAAAGAGAGATCCTGTAGCTGAGGGAAGGAACAGGTAACTCAAACCTTTCCTAACAGCAAAACTTAACACTTGCACACTTGGCCCTGAGACAGTTACAGCATCAAACCCTAATGTTAACCTGCTTTACTTATTCCAAAGGTGACATCTCACTTCTTTAAGAGATATACTCAGAGCTGTCCAGACTAGCATGTTCTATTCATTATACCTCTATTTCACTGCAACTCCAAAATGTTCAGGGCCAAGATTTCTGTCCTGCTGCAACTTTAAAGGTTGGCCTGCTATACTACCTGTTCCATTACTAAGCGGTAAAGAGCAAATTTCCATTTTGAAACAATTTTATACTTTATTAGCTTTATTTCTTGTGCCTTGGGACACCAAAAATAACTTGGCTTGGGGAAGAAAGTTCCCCTGTACCTAAGCAAGGATTCTTAACAAATTCTTGCCTTAAAAAGTGATCTGCACACACTTTCTTGCGAGATGAAATGTATCTGTGCACCCAAAACCCACTAGTTACTTGAATCTTAGTCTTCCTTGCTATTTATAATCAGCCATCCACGTGCAGTGGATGTGAGACAAGGGCTGCTTTTTCATTGTTGATTAGATTCAAGTACTTGTTCTATGTGTTAGAGTAATTTTAAGTGATTGAGTAAGCATTATGCAGTAAGTACTACTACAGTCTGATTCAGGCACTGAAGCAGCTATTGTCTGCAGTCGTGGCTGGTGTGAGGTGAATGTGTTCAGCCACCACCATAAACCATTTTAATGCGCTTCACAACTTGGCTTTGAATGCATCACGTGAACCTAACGTCGCGGCCTTAATCCTAGAGGTGCCAAAACTCTGCAATTTCCAGCTCTGCAGTCAGGTAGACAAAGCTACCACTCACCTTTATCACCTGGATCTTCTCCATGTTCCGTGTGGCAGCCTCCCGTGTGTGAACCAGAACCGTGAAGGTGCACCCTGTAAGAGAAGGGGGGTGGGCTGCGGGCCGGGGGCCAACGGCCAGGGCCCAGGCACCGCCTCCTGCCCCAGGTCAGGCAGCGCAGAGCTCTGGTGCTTACCTGGGGGGTTGTTGTCGAGCACAGCGTCACACACGCTGATCTTCAGGATGAAGGCACGCAGCAACTGCTCCACGTGGGACAGCAGGGACTCCGAACTGTTGAGGAGACAGCAGTTGTTACTGGCATGCAGCAAAGTACCGGGAGCTGCTTCCAGAACATCTCTGCAGGGGCAGGGCTTGGAGCAAAGGAAACTTTACCTAATGGAAAGAAGAGGCGGCTGGGTGATCTCAAAGACAAATCTCTCCACAGGGTGGTGCTCTTTGTCCAGGATTACAACTACAACCTTCTCCACATCATTCTGCAAGAACAAAGATAGAAAAATCCCTTCCTTAAAACAAGCTGTCTTCAGCCCCCACCGTGCTTCAACTACTTCTCAGAAAGTGGGAGTATGCTTATTTGCTGTGGCTCACAGCCTAGCAGTTACCCAAAGCCTGAGCAATGTCAGATTATTCTTACTGGTCAGAAAAAATACTTTTGCAAAACCATTTTGTGCTAGATGTTAAATTGATAGTTTATCACTAAGGCCTAGGGAGGTAAAAGTGCACTAAATAGTACCTTTCCCTAGATACTGTTTTGGAACAAAGGGGAAAATGTACAAAGAGCCATCTCATTGCATCACTCGGGACTGGACAAGGATGAGGAGGTTAAGATATGCTTAGACCATTAGCCAAATACAGCAGCTTTGTACTACCACAATGTAAAACTGACCTGTTCCCATTCTCTAAATGTGTGTCAAGGTTGTCTGTAAACAGCAGGGATGAAAAATCTGCCAGCATCCTACATCCTGAAATGTTTCATATGGTCACACCTTTCTCTTACAAAAACCTAGTTTGAACCTACCTTTGCTTGCTGGCTTACAGCAAAGCACTCAAACTATTCTGCCACATTAGTGCTTAAACTTAAAATTATTCAGAAGCAGAACATTAACATGTAGGATGATGTAACTGAAAATATATACATGTATCCTCACACATGTGCAGTACCTGCAACTAAATGCCAGTGATGAGCAGCAAGGCAGGGCCTTAACTGCAAGGAAAGATCAGGAATGTTATTTTTATTTTGGTTAGTAACTTTAGCAGCTAGTATGTTGTATATGGTAAATTTGTAAATAATTTTGCAACAAAGACCATTATTTATGTGCTCTTCCCATCAAACCCACTTGCAGTACGTCTGCCCAGGTCCCTGGTATGCCCTTACCTTCTCGAGCAGCGGCTTCACGCAGTGCAGCGTGTCCTGGATGTACTGATTCAGCTCCGGGTGGCAGGACATCTGCAGCAAAGACAGCGAGCAGTCAGAGTTGGGCTCCGATGCAAACCAGGACAATGTTCAACGGGGAGATTTAAAGGGAAGCACCAGTGTGTTACAAGGCACTTGAGTCATGCTTCAAACAGCACTTTTCACCACTAAGTTGCCCATTCAAACCGGTAATTCTTTCATGGAAGGGTTAACAAGCTGAGGCAGATCACTGTACCCACACAGTTGCAGTATATACCCACAACAGCATACTGGGAATAGGGTGTGCCAACCGTCTCTACTTCCTAGGAAGCATGCTTTCATGTTACCTTACGGCACATAGCTGGGGAAGCCTTCTACTACTGTTGTCCATGATCTGCTTGTTCCATGAGTACTGCTGTATCCTCAGCTACAGGGCTGTTTCCCCCTTTGACAGGAACTAAGTTCTCTTGAAAAATGAGTTTGCACAATAAAACAAACTCTGGAAGTGATTTAGTTTCTGGTGAGTGTTGACTGATCCCTGCTATTTTGCTCGTCCACGTGGCTGTCAGCTTCCAGGAAAATCTCCTACCTGGACAGGTACATTGTATTTTTTCCTCTTCTGAAATATCCCAATAGGGTAAACTTCTCTGACATACAAGATAAGATGAACAGCCACTTCCAGAAATTCTGAAAGAACATCTGCAACAACTGAAAAACAGAAGTAAAGGATGCTGAAGCAGGGAGGGGAGGAAGCCTGCAGAGCAATACCACATACTCATAGGAATTATTGCTTTTTAAGGACTTTTTCTCCATATAAATTTTACCTGCAGGACGTTTAAGGATAGAGGAACCCTCCAACAACAATCCCATAAGCTCACGTGCCAACAAGAAGCCTTGCAAGCAAACCAGTTTGCAGCTTGGCACAACACATTACCTTGCCCAAAGTTAAGGTCCTGCCGTGTGAGAGTGGTCATCTTTCCCAGAACCTGGAAGTAATCACAAAAACACTGTTTATCCTCTGGCTCCTACATTTTTAATAAGTCAGCTCATGGAGCCACCCCCTTCCCTAGCACCACAGAGCTCAGCCCCAGGGAGGTGTCCCCTGTGCCTACTCACCACATACAAACACTGCCCTCTCCGAAAGGCTTAAGCACCCTCCAGAACCAAAAGCACATCCTCAGAAATCACCAGTAATGCAAAAACTGAAGACAATATCATTGCTGTGTTCTGGCTCACACCTCAGACTGATGGATTACTCATAATTTAATTCCTGATTTTTTTTAATCGGGTCTTATTTTTTAAAAAAAGTGAAAGCGTGTCCTTCACTGTCTCCCTCCCCTCTCGATGCATTTTGCTAGGACTGGAGAATTCATGATTCTTAAGACCCAGTTAAGTTTAGGCAATCCCTTTTTAGTAGCACAAGGAACACTTTATTTTTTTTAAAGCCACGCAAGTGTTCTTATAACATACTAAACCATACCCCTCTTCTTTTCTAACCCCTATATCCTATCGTAACACAAGAACTTCTCATTTTTATGGGTTTATTCTCACCATGCGACATTGCTTGTGCAGGTTAGGATCTGCATCAGGTACTCATCTGCTGTCCACTACTAGCAGCTGCAGAGTGTGTCTCTCTGTAGTCCCAAGAAAACCAAACCCTGCACAGCTGCGTAATTAATATGGAATCTGTCACACAGAATCACAGAATATCGCGAGCTGGAAGGGACCCATAAGCATTATGGAGTCCAACTCCCTGCTTCTTGCAGGGCTACCTCAAACTAAACCATATGACTAAGCATCATCCAGAAGCTCCCTGAACTCTGACAGGCTCAGTGCCCTGACGAGCCTGAAATTTGTGACAGTTATAAAGGGCAGCACATTATTGTGCTAAATTGAATACCATGTGCCAACAATTGAACAGCCAGCACGGGGGTTCAACTTTCCAACAGTGGAGTCTGTGCCTTACACATTTTAAGCTACAGTGTACATCATTTTCTCTTCCAAATTTTGTTTCATTATTTCATCCATGCTCTCTGCATGCATGCAAACTCCATCCACTAACAGCAGCACTGCTGCTCATAAACCGTGTATGTCTTTAAATGCCCCCAGGAGCACCGTGGCTCCCAGGTGCCTCCCAGACAAGCCACACTCATTCCAATCTGTTGTTTAGCTACCGATTTTCAAGTAGCTTCAAGTGCAGCCAAACATGTTTTTCAGATCTACAGGGAATTACTTCAACCTTCACAAAACAAGGAGCTCCTCTCCCTTTTTAAAACAGAATGTTACCACTGCATACAAAGACTTCCTGGAATATTAGTGACCTGCTACAATAAATATCTTAAGCATCTCTCTAGCATCCCAGCCACAGTGACTCTCAAATTTGTGCAAAAGATCTGTATCAAAGTAGCATAAAGAATCTGTGTTTTTAAAGGTTTAGGTTCATATCCTCACCTAAACACCACCCTTTCTCAACCAGAGGCCCCAGTGAGGCAACAGCATCCCAAGAGATCCACCTTCAACAGTCACAAGGTTATAGGCCTAACAATCACACATTTAATACTCCCTCAGCTTAAGGTTTTGGAATAACGGATTGGAGCAATACTGCAGGGAAACGCCTTTCGTTTATTCATTTGTATTTGCTGTCTTATATGTGTGAGGTCAATTTGCAGAAAAATTCGCCCCACCTTCCCGGCGCGGCAGCCAGCACTGAGGGATGGCTCGGGGCATCAGGAAAAAGCAAGCCTGCGCTTCCTTCGTGGTGCTTTTCGGAAGCCAGCAATCCCCCGCTGAGGAGATTTCAGAAGAAAAGGGAAGCAAAGGAGGCAGGGACGCCATGTCATCGCTAATACATCACCTCCAAAGTGCCCGTGACTACTGCGCGGGCTCCCGCGCTAGCCCAGAATAGCCCCCCCAGCCTGCGCTGTGCCCTGACGCCTCCCGGCTTCGGCGAGAGGAAGAACGGCCAGGCGCTCCTCCGCCGCCTCGCACGCCGGCTTCTCTACGGGGAGGGCAGAGCGCGGCTCTCGGGGCACAGGGGTGGGCCCCCCCGGTCCCGCCGCTCCTCAGCGGAC